TTTTTTTCTTGTTGTCGATTTATTTGCAAATAACCGGAAAATCTTGATCACTTTTTCCTGGGGTGGGCTTTTGTCAGACCACAATTATGAGACCGGANGGTCAGTCCAAGACCCAATATCCACAATTGCGACACCCACTTTATGAATTGTTTCTCTGCACCCAGGTGGTTGTTCACAAAACCGAAAGTACCGGCAAACGCCCTGTTTCCAGGTGCAGGTCCCTGTGGAAAGTTTTTTTTTTTTTTGTCGATTTATTTGCAAATAACCGGAAAATCTTGATCACTTTTTCCTGGGGTGGGCTTTTGTCAGACCACAATTATGAGACCGGATTTCGATAGCTCTCGCGATTCCCCAGGTGTATTTTTTTGCCGATTTCGATTTCAGCAAAAATTGACGAAGTTATCGCCGAAAAACTGGATTAGAGAGACCATTTTGTTCACTTTTTCACTCCGACATTCAACCATAGAGCTTCAAAAAGACCACGGCAATCGATTCCTCTCGAAATTCCCCAGATGGAATTTTTTTCCGATTTTCCGAAAAAATTCTGGTTCGCGAGATATTCGGCATTTTGTTTTGCCGATGGGCGGCGATTTGTTCCTGCCACTCACGCACACACGCACGCACACATAGCGCTTGTGCGAGGGTGTGCCCTCGCCCATACGCCCTACTGCGGCACTCAGCACCCGCAGCAGTCATGGACACGAAGAAGAAACGTGGCAGACCACCAAAGCGAGGCAGGTTCAAAGGCAAATTTCAGAGCCATGAACCAGCTGTCGCTGCTCCCGAGCCATTGGACGACAGCACATCTTCTCCGATGGAAGTCGTTGACGAACCACACGACGACCACGACGAAGCCTGGTGCGACGAAGACGCCGGTGCCGCCTCGGGTGGAAGTCAGGCCACACTGTCTTTCGGGTCCGCTGCTGCTCTCGGTGAGTCTCCAGCAGCTTGCGTCGCACTGTCTTGGGTTCGCGAGGTTGCGCCGCCTCGGCGTGCGGAGGGACCTTGTCGGCAGACTCTCAGCCGTCGCAGACAGGTTGCGCTAGGGGCTGCGAAACGTCAGATGGCGAGCTATATGGCCGGCTGGCTGACGCGTGGAGCGGAGCAGCAGTCACAGCAGTCATTACCTCAAAGTTCGGAGACGCAACGTGCGGCGGAACCACTGCTTGAAGAGGACGACAGCAGTGCGGTGCCTGCTGCTGCGTGCACCGCTGAGCCAGGCAGCGACGGCGGCCGCGATAGCAACAGCGATAGCTGCAGCGAAACCGACATGCTTGTTGAAGATGGTGTGGATCTACCATTGCAGGAGTGGGTCGGTGAGGGCGAGCAAGCAGAAGCGCAAGGAGCTGTGGAGGAACACTGCGACGATGGGTACTTTTCGTGCGGAGGGTTTCTCGACGGACACGACTACCCGTCTGACCGGAGCGATGGTTCGCT